TGTGTGTGTGTGTGTGTGTGTGTGTGTGTGTGTGTGTGTGTGTGTGTGTGTATGGTTTCCTGCAACAGAATAAAATATAAATTCCTTAAGAGCAAGGCCTGTTTTAATTTTGTCCTTTTTGCTGGGCATATAATAGGTGCTTAATAAATGCTTGATGATTGATTGCATTCCAGCCTGCATGGTGCTGATGAAAAAGCAGGTCATTTGGGGCATATCATCGTTGGATCTGACTGACCCGTGCTCTTCAGTTCGTGGGTGGCTTGTGAGAAAAGGGAGCAAAGTCAGCTACAGACTTATCTAATCAGGAGTCAGAAATACTTTAAAACCACTCTGGTTTCTGACCTCTTGGTAGCATAGTTGCATCTAGGCAGGAAAGTTCATGTGGCTGATGGTATCAAAAAGCATTTTCTAATCTGGTTGGTTACTCTACTTATGAGACGGCCCCAGTGTAAGATGGGCCTCCACTAGCACTAAAGGAATGGGAAGATGATGGTCGTTGCCTCACATGTTGTAAGGCCTTGATTACCATCATATTTCCCCTATCAAGTTTATAAAACAAATATAAAGCAAGATTAAATGTTAAATCCCTTTCTCCACCACCTTCTCTCATTTCTTCTTTCTTCTTCCAGGGCTCTCCGAATATATATAATCACGAAGTTTGTATAGATGCTGAAGCTTTTTTGCCTGTTGATGATAACCTGATCACTACTGGTTAGTAAATTCAAGGGTGATTTTTTTTTTCTTTGGTGCGGAGAGGGAGGTGTGTGTGCACGGCTGGTGATGGTGTGATACAAAGATCAACAAAAGCCTAGCCTGTCTCAAAGCACTTTTCCCAGTGTCCTGGCAGAGTACCTAAGCTTTCCATCATTAGAACATCTTAGGATTTTAGAGCTGGAAGAGATCTTGGAAATCAAGTCCAGCTGCCTCATTTTCCAGATGAGGAAACGGACCCAGAGTTTACAAAGGGGTAAGTAAATGTATGCTCATTGCAAGTAGGGTTTGTTTTGTTCTTTGTCCTTTTATCCCCAGCACCTGGCACAATGCTTGGCACTTAATAAATAATTGTTCATTAATTCATTGTCTAGAGTCAAAACAGGTAGTGAGAAGAAGCCTTTCCTATTTCAAATCCTATGCTCTTTCCACTGTACCAGAAGGCATTATTTCCAGAAGGCCCCTAAAAATATATACATATAATGGAAAGAGTGCTAGATTTGAAGTCAGGAATTCCAGTCCTGTCATGTCCTCCCTGTATGACTCTGAATAAGTGACTTGGAACTCTCAGAGTCTCAGTTTTCTCATCTATGAGATGGGGGTATTGGAAGCCTTCTGAGGGCTCTACCAAGTTTAAAGACATAATTCTGTGATCCTTTATTAGGGAGGTGTAGCAATTCTCCTCCTTAGCACTGAGCAAGCATGGTGGAGTCAGGGGAGAAGAGGGAAAGGAGTAATCATTTATATAGCCCCTACTCTGGGCCAGGCACTCTGTGCTAAATGCTTTTACAAATATTATATCATTTGATCTTCACAACAACCCCAGGAGGTAGGTACTCTAATTATCTTCAGTAGGAAAGATTTGTTCCTTATTACAGCCTGACAAAGTGCATGGTCTGTGAAAGAAAGGGATATAGAACAGGTAAGTATTGATAGCAGAAAAGGAAAGATCTGGAGGTTGGGCCTGGGTCAGAGGCCTTCCCTAGGCAAGGGGCAGCAGGAAAACACTGGACCCACTGAGAGGAGAAGAAATAGTAAAAATCATACTTCACTAGCCTTCTAATTTTGCTTATGGTTATCTATTACAATAGTGTCAAGGCTACCTGCAGGCTGCATATTGACTGAGAAAACCACAAGTCAACATTATCTATGTTGTGTTGCATTTTTACTTTTTTTTTGTTCAACATTTTCCAGTTACATTTTATGGTTTGGATTGTATTTTGGGAGTTTTGTGGGCTTTGAGTTTTGATACTTCTGGCCTAAAAGACATCAGAGGCATGTAAATAGGATAATGTCAAGGCTTTGAAAAAGATGATCTGGATGGTTCCTTTGGTAAAGAGAGAGTTAATTTTCCAAGACGATAGAGGCAGTGTATATGTGATGTAGTGGAAGGGGCATTGGACTTGTAATAAGAGGACCTGGCCTCAGTTTATCCCCTAATAACTACATGATTCTGTGCAAATTAATCATTTACAAGCATTTATTAAGCACTTACTGTGTTCCTGGCACCATACTACATTCTGGGGGTACAAATACAAGCAAAAAGAAAGACAGCCCTGCCTTCAAAGAGCTCACATTCTAATAGAGGAAGACGTAGCATAAGAGGGGAACTAGAAAGAAGGGTTTTGGAGGGTAAGGAGGTACCGAAGGATGACTGATCTGCGCCCTTCCTCTAAATGGAGTTTCTGGGGAAAATTGGCCAATGGCAGAGGGAGATGGCAGCTGAGGTGTGGGGGTTACATCACATAATTGATGCGCTCTCTGAATCTCTGTTTCCATACTTGTGAAATGAGAATAATAATGCTTGTAATACTTCTCTCACAGGAGCGTCTTCATCAGGGAATTTCTATGTAAAGCACAGAGTTCTGCCCGTATGGGCCAGGATGATTATGTCAGCCCATGTGTACACAAGGCACGCCGTTGATAACCGATCCAGCCAATGTTGAGGCTTTTCTCTGATTAGCCAGCCTGGGTTTGGATGGTTCCAGGGAAGTAACTCAGACAGAACATCCCAGCTCCCGTCTTGCCCCCAGTATCAAGTGATCTGTGTAGTTAAGGTGGTTGGGAGGGAGGGTGTAATCTCTGGCTGCTCATTGATCTCCCTTTGAAGCAGGTCCCACCAAAGCAGGAGAGTAAATGTTCTTTTTCAAGTTTCATTGAAAGAAGGTCATAAATTTGGAGCTGGAAGGGACCAGAATGTTGAGTCTCACAGATGAGAAGATTGAGATTCTAAGATCTAGGCAGTTTTCTTTTGTGATTTCTTGAAATGTGGCCTATCGGCTTTTTGTTTGCTCATTGTTTTCAGGGGATCCTATGATTTCTTAAATTATATCTTGACCCGTTTTCTAGATCAGTTGTTTTTGATAAAAGATACTATACATTTTATTTTTTCAGTCTCTTGATTTTGTTCTAATTCTTCCTATTGTTTTATGGAGACATCATGTTATGTTTCCCCTATTTCTATTTTTAAAGGAATCTGCAGCTTGGGCAATAATAATAGCTAACATTTACATAGCACTTATTATGTGTAAGTGCGTGCTTGACAATCATCCCATTTCATCCTCACAGCAACCCTCAGGGAGGTGCTAAGGGAACTGAGCTTAAGTTACTTGCCCAGGATTGCACAGCTAGCAAGTATCTGAAGCTGGATTTGAACTCAGGTCTTCCTAACTCCAGGCCCAGGGTTCTGTCCATTGCATAAGCTAAAGTATTTTTCTCCTAATTTCTGAACTATTTTCTTTTATCCTGTTTTCTTTTCAGAGGCAATCAGGGGTTGTGACTTGCCCAGGATCATGCAGCTAGTAAGTGTTTGAGGCCAGATTTGAACTTGGGTCCTCTTGACTCCAAGGCCAGTGCTCTATCCATTGTGCCACTTAGTTGCCCCAGCTTCTAACCTATTTCCCTTTCACTTTTTTCCTCCTAAATTCTCATTTATTTCATCCACATACTCTTATAGTTCTTATAGCCATTTTGTTCTGAGTTTCCTTGTGGTGGGGTTACTCAGTTCTCCTGGGTTTATCTTCTGGGCTTCCCTTAAGCCATAATATTTCTTAATTATGTTAACGTTTATTTTGTTTATTCATATTTTCAGCCTCAGTTCTTGGTTTGGGATTTTGTGTTCAGGAAAATCCCCTCTGCAATAGGATAGGCTTTGTTTGGTTTCATCCCCACTGTAAGAAGGCCACTGCCTCTGCCAGTGTAGATGAAGTGGTTTTCAATCAGTCAGTGCCTGCTGTGGGTCAGAAACTGTGCCAGGGGGTACAAAGAAAGGCAGAAGACAGACCCTGCCCTCAAGGAATTTATAATCTAATGGTAGCATTAGACCCCACTCTTTGCTTAAATTCCTGGCTCCTTTCTCAGTCTCCTACTGCCCCACTATGGTCTCTTTCTCCTTCTTTTCACACAGTCCTCATTTGAGTGTTGGCCCCAGTGGGATGTTGGAGATGACAGGTCTTAGGCCTCTTATGCAGCCATTCCTACCCTGGAACTCACATGTTGAGTGGGCCCTGCCTCCTTCCATTTCTTTGACTGTACAAATGGGTGCTGTATTCCTGCACAGTGACCCAAGTAGTCTGGTTCTCTCCCCTGCTTCTGACATGGGATCTGGCTTAAGCCCCTTGATTTTTGGAGCTGGCCCTGGTTCATATTACCCTTGCCCAGGGGGGCTTTTTTGTTTGAGGGAGTTTGGGATGCCTTCCCTCCTTTCTGCCTCTATTTGCTTCCAGCCAGCTTTTTGGAGTATGCATGATTTCCTCTTGTGGTCTTCCTTCCTCTACTGCTGGTTTAGCTGAGCTGGCACCGACTTCCTTAATTCAACCCCTGTATCAGCTTCCACTCTTTTCCGGTGTAGCTCCAGACTGGATGGAGTAGCTTACTTCTTTCTGTGTCTTTTCAGATTTCTCTATGGTTGATCTTTTTTGGAGCTGTATTCAAATGTTTGCTGGAATTGGGTTTCTCTGTAAATTTTTTTTAATTTTTTTTTTTTTTTAGGCAATTAGGGTTAAGTGACTTGCCCAAGGTCACACAGCTAGTAAGTGTCAGGTGTTTGATCTGAGGCCGAATTTGAACTCAGGTCCTCCTGACTTCAGGGCTGGTGCTCTATCCACTGCACCACCTAGCTGCCCCTCTCTGTAATTTTTCATAAGGCCATCTTAACTGGAAATCCGGAACAGTATTTAAGAATCATCTTTTTCTTTTAAAAAAAATTCATAGTTTAAAATTCTCTCCCCCTCTCTCCATCTCCTTCTCTTCCGTGCCCATCAAGAAGTCAAGAAATATAATACCCATTTTATATATATATGAAGTCGTGCAAGACATTTCCTACATTAACCTTGTTAAAAAGGAAAAAAAAAATAATGCCTCAATCTACGCTCAGAGTCCATGAGGTGTATAGCATTTTTTTTTTTTTATAATTCGTCCTTTGGAATTGTTGTGGATCATTGCATTGATCAGAGTAATTAAGTCTTTCACAGTTGATTATCGTTACAATATTGCTGTTCCTGTGTACAACATTCTTCTGGTTCTGCTCCCTTCACTTTTCATCAGTTCCTACAGGTCTTTCCAGGTTTCTCTGAAACCATCTCCCTCATCATTTCCTACAGAGCAATAGTTTTACAGAACAAATCCTTTTATTAAGGGGATTTGTTTTGTGAAGTTTGGATTCAGTCAAAGGGCTGCACTTGAGGACCTACAGGCCCTCGAGGCTGCAGGTTCCCCACCCCTATCTTGAGCTCTAGAAGACATTAAAGGAGGAGGCCTAGAATTTCTATACCCAACAAAAATTAGAACATGAAAATTGTGTACTTGGCCCAACAACTGAGATTATAAGGAGAGATATACTACCATTTCAGTCGCTGTCAGCATGGTGTTTATCAAAGCTGCTAGGGATAATTGTGAGAAGCAGAGATAAATAGACTTCGTTTGGCAGCTTGGTGGTACTGGAAGTTCTCCCAGTTTTCAAGGCCTGATTTAGAGGCTTTTCTATTTGTCTCAGTGATGTG